CAGGTGCTTGACCTGAGAGTGCCAAAAAGTGGCTCCAAGGCCCTCCCTTGGGGTCCTCTACAATAATTATTAGCCAGAATTTGATTCTTGGGGGGTCGATTTTCATCTTCCCTTAGTACCTTAAGTGGTGCTGTTTTCCAGATTTCCGCGAAAAAAAAGTAATCAGTCAGCATTGATAATTTAAGTGAAAAAAAAAATATTTGAAGGAAATGGATCATATTTGAACATGTACGTTGCACTTTGGGGTCATTCTGCATCAAGTGGTCCAAATTTCAGGAAGTTGGTTGTACCACTCAATGGGATTTAACTATTTAATAGAATAAAAACAATAAGGCTATTGCGGGTTAGGAGAAACTACTAAATCCAAAATTTCGTAATTCTGGGTCCAATGGTCCCCGAGACGTGCCCCTTTACATTTTGGGAGGGAAGGTAAAGTGACCTAGGACAAAAGGAGGATCTCCCAAACTAATCAAGGTAGAAATCTGGTCAATGGGTTGTTTTTAAACTCGACATCAGTCCATTCTAAATTATTTAATAAGTTTTTCTGTGGCCCAATGAGGAAAAAAAGCTGCAATTTTTAAAATACATTTTTTGAAAGTGTTAAAAAGTTCAACCTGTTCACAATAAAAATGCTTGCAAAGAATCTTGTTTTGGCATTTATTTAATGATTGATTAGACGATTTTAATAACATCCTTCACTGTTTACTATCGTGTTTAAAAAACTTGTCATGCGAACTCAAACGTTCATATTTTTACATATTTGGTCAATTACGACTTTCCATAACTCCTGCTTGATTCCAGGCAGAGGCGTGATTCTTTCACCGCCTCAAAGGTAGACATTATATTCTTTCATCTCCAAGGGAGGCTACAACGCAAATTTCATTGCTTGGAGCAAAGTCCCAAGTTGACTATCTTTATTGAAACCGCCTGCCTGAAGTGCCTGGAGCCTCCATGTCGCATCAGGGATGGAACCAAGTTCACTGGGAAGAACGCAAAATCGCGGTTAGGAGCCGCCTCGCGCCGGTTGGTAGAACTCATTTTCAACGGAGAATGTGCTCATGACTCAGCATATGCGCAATGTTGATACTGCCCAAGCAACACATGCATCTAAACAACGTCGATGCGACGTTACCACGTAATACAGCTCAAGTCACGTTGCAGCAACGTTGCATGGACGTCACGCGTTGCTTGGGTGGTTGTTGAGACTACGTGGACAATTGGCGAGGGAAAATGTAAAAAAAAAAAGAAAAGAATTTTCATTTACTAGCCTACAAAGTACTTCACTAACTCTAGTCTACGCGTACTGATAATAGGTAAATTAAGAATAGTCGGCATTTCCTCGTAAAATACGGCACTGATCAAGCAATGCCCTTGATCAGTGGCGTATTTTACGGGGGGGGGGGCGGGGCAGCCGCCCCCCCCTGGCGACCCCTTGGAGGCAATAATATTCTCATTAGCGAGGGGGGATTGAAGCCCCCCCGTTAGATTTAGCCCCCCTCCAACTCTGGTCAAAATGCGTCCGCCAACCCCCCTCCCCCCTTTCCTCCACCCTAGGAGAAGGTCCTAGCCCCCATTCTGTTCCTCTTAGCCCCCCCTATTGGCAAAACCCTGACTACGCCATTGGTTAGAAACTACCGGCAGAGACGAGAAGCAGGAAGATGGTAGCTTGGAGGCGACAGCTCCCCCACGTGCTTTTTCCATGTGATTTCTGAGCATAGGCGTAAATGCGAAGCGCCTCAACGCTGTGCAAATGAGAAACCCTAAGTCACAGGATGAAGTTTTCCACATAGTGCAGCAAGGTGATCTGGAGAAACTGAGGGAGTATGCGAGTTCGGCAGATGTGGAATTGGACCACTTGGTGTCTCGTGGGTCTGGTGATACTCCCTTGCATGTGGCTGCTAGAATCGGCGCTCTTGATGTGATCAGGTAAAGTTTCAAATATCCATGGAAAAATCAAGTTGTAGATCAACACCCTTTCTTTCGGATGAAATAAGGCCATCAGGCCCCTGGTCGATTCGCTGTTTTCATTGCACCTTTTCTAACTTATTCTGTCATTTGAATGTTTGTTGCAGTGGCCTCACAGGCCTGGTTCCTACACATATCCATCTATGGTTGTCAATTTAAATTTTTTAATGACAATTTTTATGATAAATTCCATAATGTATTGGACGGAAAGGAATGAGATGGTCAAAATCATCATATTTTAGCCATATTAGCCAGTCTTGATGCAAAAGGATTCATTTCCATCAAATACTAAGTGAACTCTTCCACTTTGTGAAGGAGTTTCTAGCACCATGACTTTTGGTCAGTGCAGATGGGAACATTCTTTGTGTATGGCAAATGAAATTTTTAATTTTTAACCACTGAGTCTTTGCTCATTTTGCTGCTGTTTTCACAAAACTTGCACACTGCTTAGACTGATATGCTCCCATGAGACTTGTGAAAGTCACTCATGCCAATGCAAGGATATGAGGGATTATTCAAAATAAATAGGATATAAAAAATGGACAGGAGTTTGTGCTGGGGCAAGTGGAGAAAACACCTCTATGTTGTGGTTGTGTATCATGCTGGCCTGAAGCAAACAGTTCTAAGATTAAAATGTATAATTGGGAATGGATTTTTCTTGTAGATGGTTTTGATTTGCCTCTACATTTGATCACTGTTGAATCAATTGAATTCAATAAAAACACTTAGCTTCAAGTTCTTTTAGATTTCCCCCTTATTTATGTTGGAGGATGAGACAGGTACAGTCTGGTACCAATGTAGGGACAAGAGTAACCTATCCAGTTACAATGTCTGATTCATTTTTAATAATTACTTCTAGCCTTGCTTTGGTTGAACAAATTTGTATGAAATTTCGAAAGTGTTAGGAACATATAGTGCAAGTTCCATGAGTTCCTTCAGTGATAGAACAAATATGGAATTTAACAGCTAGAAGTTAATGAATGTTTTTTTTTTGTCATACCTTGTATTTCTTTTGAACTCATTAGGCTCAGTATAATAAATATTGAAAGAATGGAAGAAGATTTGGATGCATTACAAATTATTCTGCAATGTCCATAGTTCACCTTGGAACTTATTAATGCTACTGCTCATTTTGTTAAACTAACTCTAAATAAAAGCAGCATGTCTCCTGAATGGGTTGCTGGCACCATGGCCTCTTTGTCAGGGTGGATGGAAGGAACATTGCACTGTTTCTCATCAGTTTTATGAAAAATGTCAAGAAATACTGATACATAAATATTGGGACTATTGCCTTATCCTTAGTTTCAGAAAAGTCTTTTAGTATCTATTTGCCATTACAGATAAGTAGGTCATTGTATTTTCGAGGAATGGCAGTGCTGAAGCCTGAGAAAACAACTTGCTCATTTGATTCCCACTGGCTTTGATTCATGCTGGATAAATGCTTAAATGTCAGGATATTTGCATGCTCATTTTGCTCTGATTGAACTCTGTACTGAGATGGTTGAAAGCAAGGTTAGTAGAGATGAGAGGTTGGCAGGAGAGATCCCACTTTGACTTGTGCAGATACTTTTTTTGGGGGTGAAATTCACCCCCAAAAATGTTCAGAATGAAGGGCATACTATGCATGAAAGATAGGGTGGTGAAGTGTGCCTGTGGGGAGAGAAACCATGCCAAACAGTTACATTGCTAAATGGATAACAAAATGCATATTTTGGGTTAGATTCTCTTCCCAGTGCTTGGAGTCATTCATTTCTCATGTACAGACAATTTGGAAACTTATTAAAAGAAGCATTTTCTCTTAGTTGATTTTTATAAGTAGGCAAATTTTTGCAAGATATAACAATGGAAGCCTTGCCACTACCATTCATAATGAAACATGTTATAATGAGGAAATTAATGAAAACTAGGAACCTAAGCCTATTGACAAAATAAAGGAACAACTGAACAAAAATACATGTACAGGGTATCTGACAAAAAAGATAGATTCCAAGTGATTACAACTTTCTCAACTAGATACCTACATTTTTTGTTTCTACATCAGTGTGTTCCTTGAAGTCTGAAGTTTTAGGAAATCCCCACTTGCCACCTGAAAACATTGATGCACTTTTGGAGCATTCCAGTGTTCTTGACATCCTCAAATTGCTTGATACTCTGATTCTGCAGTTTTTCTTCTAAACATGGCTGAACTCAGTTAAATTTTTATCAATGATTCAAAAGTAGCAAATCACAAAATACACTGCACTGCATGTCATCAGCATTTTGCAGCAGTCAAGAATAGCCATCAAACTTAGTTGTTTTCACAGTGAGCCAACAGGTGGCAGTTTACATTTCTGCATCAGGTGTTTATGAGGAAGTGAGATGTGTGACAAAGTTTTCAGCCAGTCAGACTTGAGATTTTCCTGAAACTTCCAGACTTGAGAGGAAAGTTGAGGCTGTGAGCATCCAGTTTAAATAGTTGTAATCATTTGAAATCCAACATTTTTTGTTTGACTCCCTGTCCAGTGCTATCCAGGACAGATCTTATAAATACTGTACAAGTTTATTTTCGTTGGGGAGAAGAATAAGAAAGGCAATGACTCAAGCGAGCTGCAGCTCCTGCTTTTGTAGTGAAACAGCTCCATGATATCATATGAGCAGGATCCTAACACCCCCTCCACCCCAGCTGGGGCTGGTTGAAAGTCCTTTCTTATCAACAAACAAGCCTTCCCTGATTATCAAAATTTCACAACTCCTGTTGGTGTAATTTTTGCTTTCTTTGATGTTATTTATAATTCTATAGGAAAAACTTTCATCTTGTAATGTTACTTTTGCATTACCCAGCTCTGCATCTATCTGTTACTGAATAGTCCAAACATTGTTTTTGAAATCAAAAGTAATTAATTAGGCTTAGATTTAGTAGGTTTACAAGTAGGTAATCAATTTTATGGTATATGTTATGGACTTGTCTTCAAATTCATATGTGCTTTTCCCTCATCTACCCATTCATCCATTAATTGCCATTGCCCTTCATTCATTTGATTATTTTCTCTTCTCCGGATCAGCAATCTGGACCATTTTTCAAAAGGAAAAGCAACTTGGAGTACTTCTTTTGATTCTTAATAGATACTTGGTCTTGGAGTGTGGAATTAAACAATCCATTGAAAAAGCCAACAAAGATGGAAAGAGACCTCTTCATGAAGCAGCCCTGTATACCAATCTTCAATGTGCTAAGTTCCTCCTGGATTATGGTAAGACTTTAGTTGTCTGCATAATGGCATTCTCACTGTCCCTTGTCTCTTGGTAAATGAATGAAGTTTGCAGGGGCTGAGGTTGACAGCCTGAAAAGAGGAGACTGGACACCATTAATGCTTGCCTGCACAAGGGATTGTTTGGAGATGATCTCATTGCTGATTTCCAAGGGGGGAGACTTAAGATTACGAAACAAGGATGGGTGGACAGCATTTCACATCGCATGCCGAGAGGGACATCCACATGTCATTACCTATCTTCGAAACCTAGATACATATATCTACAAGACATGCAGTTTTAATGGTCGTACTCCCCTCCACACTGCAGGTTAGTCTTGTAAAACATGCCTCAGTTGCATGAGTGATCATGGATATGGATATATTTCACATTGTTTCCACCCCCAGAATTGAAAAAATGTATATAAATGGTTGCTTTGTATCTTTAATAGCACTGCATGGACGAAGAGAGACAGTGGAGATCCTGTTGAAGGTAATGGATCAATTGGGTGATTCTCTTGACCTCACTGACAGTTGTGGTACAACTCCACTATTTGATGCCCTGAGGGCAGGTCATGTGGATACTGCAATGACCCTTGTTCATACAGGCAAGGTTAATGTTCATCACAAGGACAAGTTGGGTCGCACTCTTGTGCATGTTGTGGCTCAAGCTGGTCAAGTTCCCAGTCTTGAATATGTGGTGTCAGACCTGTGCTTGAATATAAACTGTCAGACAGATGATGGCACAAGTCCTTTGCACCTGGCAGCACGTGAGAATCGCCTAGAAGCTGTGTCTTTCCTCCTCCATCACAGAGCTAACCCTCACACATTTGACTCAACCTCACTTTCACGTAAGGATCTGTATTGCTCTATCCTTGCAGCCTGTATTCCAGTTTTGTTTTTCTGAATCCCAGATTTGTTTCCATTAAAGCATTAGATGTGGCTCGTGAGTGGAAGAGAGATGCAGTTATCAAGCTTCTCGTGGATCATGAAAAGGCTAATGAGCAAGCTCCTGGTATCACTTGATTTGAATCTGAGAAAATCCATATTGTCATGAACTCTCTTGTGTGGAGAAGTTTTCTGAAGTTACTCTACTGCCCTGATGATTTGAAATTAGAATGAAACCGTGATATTTGTTATGCATGGACTGTTCATCTCATCCTCATTGATTAAATACAGAAGAATGAAGAAACTTTTGAATCCTCAGGAGGAGGTAGCCAACTATGCAGCATATATCAGAAATACTCAACAGCGATATGATGGCAACCAAGAGAGGTAATGAATCCAAGAGAAATATCAAAATAAAGTTGAAGTGATGAAATAAATTTTGAAGGAGTTAAGTGTAGGGTTCTAGCTGTGCTTGTAAAACATAGTGACAATTCCAGAATTTCCAATGTCATCCAATAAAAAAATTATACACCCTTGGTGTAATACATTGAGGCCATGTTCCAGAGATGTGTGTTTTTGTATCTACTTCAATAGGTACTTTTTTAGTCATCTGTGGGTGAGGTGGTGGAACTACTAATACAGGGTGGTCCATAAGTAAGTTTACTAAAGGATTTTCAGCTACAGAATATTCTGATTAACCTTGGTTTGTTGTCCATGTTACAAGATATTATTCTTGTTAGTTTTTAGATCCTGTTCATGGCCATATTTGTTTGATGCCTATGGGCCACCATGTATGTCAGGTCTCTTATGGAGGAGCAAGAGCTCACTGGTTCACATACTAACCACTGGATGTAGTTTTAAATGTCTTGATTCTCCTTTTGTGTGTTTTTTCCCTGGGTTGTGATTCATCAAGTCTAAAAAAGGCTATGGAATCATTCAGACTGGTACAGAAATCTGGTTGTTCACAACATTTTGATTCTGTACTGTGAAATCAATGCACTCTTCTGCTTGAGAAGGTTCTAATTTTTATGTCTATGGAATGTAGCCCTGGCCCTCAAATGTGAATATGGCTACTTGGCAGCATAGTGTCAGGGGAGCCAGGGAAGCATGTGCCCCCCCCCCCCCACATTTCAAGAAATTAAGCCACAAAAAGTAGGAAAAAACCCATGAAAAGCATGATAACAGTATCCCAGAGTTCCTGTACCCGCCCCTCACTTTTCCATCCACACTATTTATGTGGCTACTTGCAAGCTTGTTGGTTGTGAAGCTCTTGATGAAAATGATATTTTGGTGAAACTTTTATACCGATTCTTACTGACACATCTGATGGTGACTATGAATAGAAACATTATTGGAATGGCTTATAGTCACTATTAAGGTGGTACGGGAAGGAAAATCGATGGGTCTGGGATTCAAAATTTTATCCGTAATTCTTATGTAGGGGGTCTCACAAAACCCA